CTGGGCTCTCGCGCCGCGGTGGTCTCGGGCGGTGGGGGACCCGGCGCCTCTGAGAAGCCCGCGGTCACCCGCTCTTCTCGGCACGCATGGGTCAGCCGAGGCCACGCTGGACCTGAGCGCCTCTGATGTGCACGTGGCCCGACAGGACGCCCTGGGCCGCCCGCCACCTCCCCGCGCCCACAATCCGCCCCCAGCGCCTCCCCTGCGGTCGTTGGGTGGGTCCACAGCCGGTCTCTGCAGATTGGTATTTAAGTCATACCATCATCATAAACCCACGCGGGTGAGGTCACAGTGTAGATTCCGTTTTTACACATGGTCGCATCCTTGGATACTGTGTCCTTTTTTCGATGCAATGTATCTGCAAAGCTGACTGGGTGAACACGGATTTACCATGAGAGCTCAGCTGGCGCTCGCCCAGGACCTAGCCGTTCTCCAGGGACGTCCCCAGCCCCTGGTTACACAAACCCGCTGCTGAGCGTCTGCATCTTTTCATTAACTGTTAAGCCCTTCCGGTCTCCTTCAGTTTCCTTTTACTTGTGACTTTTCAAGATTCCTTTGATTGCCAAATTGCCAATTAAGTTTTTGTTGTTTTGCTATTGCAAATATCTTTTCTCAGCCCGTCCTTTGTTGGGAAAAAAATCCTAATTTTGGTGTGAGCCATAATTTATATAATTTTGTATCCTGCATTTTGAAGGGGCATTTTTTTTTTGTTACTGCAGCTTTTTATAGATACTTTTAGTGACTGTGCAGTATTAAACCTAAGTATCCAACCAAGAGTGGTGGTTGGGCATTTCCATTACTTCTGCTCTATTTCTGCAGACCCCTTCATTCGCTGAAAAATTAGCACCAGATTCGCTGCTGTTCTTTGTATGGTAGTCCTTGCTTCCTTCTTGGAGACACAGCTTTCCCTTAGAATTAAAGTGATTGCAGGATGAATCATAGCAGATCCTTCCAGTGGACTGGCTGTCCCCTGCAAGGGTCTTGTCCTCTGTGTGACCCCAGATAGACACACCCTTGCTGACCACTGACCAGTGCCTTTCAAATGTTTTTAACAGTGACCACAAGAGAAGCTACATTTTATGGGTACCAAATTTCTGTTTGGGATGATGAAAATTTAGGGGCATAGTGGGGATGGTTGCATAACAATGTGAATGCACTTAATGCCACTGAATTCTACACATGAAGACCAGTTAAAATGGCATATTTTGTGTTATTGTATTTTACTACAATAAAAAAAATAGTAAAAAACGCATTCTGCCTTATGATCCAGAACCCACACATACAGGACGAGTTTCATGATCTAATCTGCATGCTTGTGCAATGCCCTAGTATTTCCTCTCCTTTTCTGTTTTATTTTTATGAACAACACCCTGCATATGACTCCATGTGATTTCACAAGGCCTCCATCAGCCACGCCTGCAGGCTGCCACCCACTGCCTAGCCCCAGCGTCACTACCCTCTGTCACCTTGATTAGGGACCGCTGGCTCTGGGACACAACTGGCCCCCTCCTGTTGGTGTCCCCACCACTCTGACCTACCTACCTGGCGACTGCCCTCCCTCAGCCCCTTTCTCACACCGCATACTGGCCTGGCAGACCCCACCCTGGGTGGACGGGACTCAGAGTGGCTAGGGGAGACTGGATTCTAGGGCTCTGCTGTCCTCCAGCTTCTCTACACCTGTCTGTCCAAGCCCCTTTTCTGGACTGCAGTCCTCACTCCTCCCACTACTCCTCGCAGCTGTGTCCTGCTTCACGGAGAGCAATGACCTCCTCAGGAACATCCTTCTTGCTCCCACCAGAAACCATCACCAGCAGTCCACACGTCCACCCTGCATGCGGGAGGTTCACTGCGGCCACAGAGCCTTCGTTCTTCTGCATCTTCCATCCCCTCTTCACTGGGTTGTCCCACCAGAATAGGGGACCAGCTGTCATCGCCATATCATCCTTGGCTGTCACCATGTTTCCACCCAACCCTGGAGAGCGGGCCGGGCTCTGCCCATTCTCAGGTTCCCGTCCAACCTCTCCACTAAACCTGCCCTGGCTTACTACACTGTCCAAGCAGCATTTCACACAGCCAGTCACTTTCTTTAAACTCTTTCTTCACTCTGGCCCTGGGGCTCCTCCCTCTTGCTCACTGTCCACATGTCCGTGGCTCTCCCATCCTCCTGAGGCTGGAGGCCCCAATGTCTTCTAGCACAGACACCTCCCCCAAACCCCACACCCCAGGCTCACGTCCAGCTGCCACCCTCGCATCTTCCTCCAAGGCCTGCGAGACAAACTCTACACGCCCTAAATCAGGTGAGTCTTCCACCTCGGCGGAAGGCCCTGCTTCCTCCCAGATCACCCTCTCATCACACCCTACAGGCAACCTGGGCAAGTCCTGCAGCCCCACACCCACCTGGGGCAGCTCCGCTCTCCTCCCCGGCAGAGATCACTGCTGGGGCTGACATGGCTGCAAACTTTGCCTCCTTAACTCTGTTCTCCACTTTTAAAATGATAGTCAGTTCAGACCTGTCACCTCTCAAAGGCATGAGGAGCTTCTGCTCTGCTGGGACTGAGAGCCAGTGTCCCTCCACTGCCCCACGTAACGTGGCTCCTCCCATTTCTCCTCGCTTCCTGCTTCTGTCCCCGCAAGTGTTGAACTGACTAGACTTCACGGCCCCACCCTCACTGCTGACACCAGCTGCAGGCCTGGGGACTCCAAGACCACCCTCAGGTTTGACAGTCTCCTAGGAGGACTCATGGAAAGCTGGTGTGCTCATGGCGTCAGTTTACAGCAGAGAAAGGATGCGGATTAAACTTGGTCCCCAGGAGAAGGCCACCCAGGAGTGGAGGAAATGCCAGCGTCGAGCCCCGGGCTGTGCTCTCCCCGTGGACTAGGAGGGCCTCCTCCCCCAGCATTGATGTGAGTGCTGCCGGCAGGAAGCTCAGAGCCTGGGGGCACAGCTTTGGGGCTCCATCACACAGGCTCCAGGTCCCCGGGTGGGTGTGCACCCCTGGAATTACACTTTTGGTCTTTCTTGTGTGCTCAGCCCAGCCCTGAATACTATCTGGGGTATAAATCACATGGTTCGACTGTCCAAGGACCAAAGACCCCCAGGCAGACGCTCCTGTCAGGGCTTAGAGATCACCTCCCAGAAGCCTGCAGCCATGGCCAGATTCTTTCCTGTGAAGGCCCCGTCCTTGCTGCTCCCTTCTCAGGACTCTGTTCCAATGGGGCCCCATCAGAGAGGCCACCGCCTCCGGGCTCTGGGGACCACCATGCCCACCTCTTGCCCTCTCCTCACCTGGACTTGTTTTCTCTTCTGAACACGCCCCACACGTTCATTTTCTTACCTTGAATTCTGTCTCCCCTCACCAGGATATGAGCCCTGAGGGCAGGGGTTTGGTCCCTCCTACCTGTATCCCCAGCAGGCACAGGTGGGGAGAAGATGGCCACCTACAAGCTTTATCCCCAGGGCTTGGGGCATTTGCTGAATAAGCCACTCCTGCAGGGCGACCGAGATCCCAGACAGAGCAGTGTCCCAGCTCTCCCTGGTGGGTGTGCACCCCGTAGGGGCAGGGGAAGCACCGCTCCCGGGGGAGGAGGAGGTGGTGCCCGTGGTCATAAAGTGAGCCAGCCCCACCTCCCCCAGTTTGAGGCTCCAGCCTGACATGGGGGATGGGGTGGGTTATACATTTCAAAAGTAGAGTAGCACATGGACACGTCCACAACCTTCCAGCTGGCTAATCTGGTGGGCGGCGTTGGACGTGCGTGTTGGGTAACACTGGGATCCAGGCACTGGGGGGGGGGGCTGGGGCGGGGCCAGCATCCCCGGAGGACCCAGTCTGGTGCATGTTAACAGGCTGAGCCACACTGCCCGAGATGTCTACTTGGAGACAGGGTCTGTAAGATTAAATTAAAATGAGCCCATTAGGGTGGGCTCTAATCCAGTCCGATTGGTGTCCTTATGAGATGAGGAGAGAGACACGAAGGGAGGGTCACATAGGGACACGGGGAGAGGACCACCCACGCACCAAGGAGAGAGGCCTCAGGAAAAACTGAACCAGCCCACACCTTGATCTCCAGCTTCCAGACTGAGAAATAAATCTGTTGTTTCAGCCACCCAGTCTGTGATGCTTTGTTATGGCGGCCCCATAACACTGGGTTTTCGAGGTAAAAGAAACCTAAAGCAACTCTCCAGAAGGGTCTCCCCACTTGCCTTCCATCCCCACCTGTCTAAGACCCCCCAGGTTGGCCACATCGAGCAGCCTACCTAGGTACGACTTCCGCAGGCTAGTGGGTGGCCTCAGCCAAGCGAGGGGATGAAGGCTCCTGTTGGCCCTTGAGGCTCTAAAATCTGAGTCGCTGATGGTTTCCTGTGTGACAGTCACGCCCAGTAGGAGGCAGCTGTTGTCGGCATAGCAACCACAAGCCGTCTTGTGTTCTTTCCAAATTAGAAAAATCCCCAGCTTCAGGATTGCAGAAAGATGTAAAAGCGGAGATGAAATTAAGCGACCGATGGAAGTGGTTGCCATGGT